GTTGACGGCTCCTTCCATTCTTTATTGGAATGCAGCAAATGCAGTCATCAATTGCCTGAATTGTTCTTCCATTGCTCTTGTAATTCGCATTCAAAATCTCACTGCTGCCACCAAAAAATGTTGCGTGCGTAAGGATTCGTAATAAATTGAATGCACAAGTCGATAAGAAGTTAATAAAATTTATTATTACTTCAAGAAACAAAACAAATGCTGAAATATCCTCAGAGATTTTAATACAATATCGCAATATCTCACAGTAGTTATATTTTAAACTACTAAAATTTTTAATGGAACTCAATTCGAAACAAACACAGAGAAAGCTAATCCGATCTCACAGCGAATTCACTACAATCAATAACAGCACCAAGTCAACAACTGAATTGAGATGTTTTCCTCCAGCTTTTATAAGCTTTTCAAGTGCATGAGAACATTCTGGTATTTTGTCGATTTTTCTGGATAGCAAAGAGTACAATTACGAGATATCTATTTATTAAAATGTTAAATGCACGTGCTTCTGTATTTTAATTTTCCCGGCATAGCTTTCTCTTCAAATAAGTCTCGTGCTGCATTGCACTGGAATATAAAACAATTTTAACTACAAATTCTACTAAAACAGCTAAATAAATACAAAATCCATAAAAATATGTACATTCTCACTCAATTAATATTTCTAAATTCTCTATAAAGGGAAGAAAAATGATTTCAACTTTTCTATCTTCTGGATGGCCGAGGATACATCCATTGTGATAACCAAAATATCTGAATTCAAGGATTCTTCAAAATACTGACACTTCTGTGAAATATAAACATATTATATTTATATGCATTTATTACATTACGTTTACATGAACATTACGCACTTTCCTTCATACAATCTTTCTAGTTCTGGTTGAATGCAAATCAGAATTCTATTTACGTTTTTGTTTCGATTATTCTAGAGTTTAGATGTAACGGTGCTGATAGTCCAAAGTTTAAAGTAACAAAAAGATCTACAGTCAAAAGTCGTTAATTCGGACACCCATAATCCGGAATGATCTATAATCTGGACCTCAAAGCTAAAAAATTTCTGCGCATGCGTCGCGTTGACGGAATACCTCCACGGCTGCGAATATGCGTGCGCGCATGCGCATAATACGTTTACGCATGCGCGTTTAATGTATAACGGAAGGTATAAGCTAAGCTAAAATTATCTATTTCAGTTAATGTTGCAGATTGCGTTGTTCCTTATCTTGAATTGGATCCGGCTTATTATTTTTGCAGACTGTTAGAGCAATTTTATAAAAGTAAGCTTGAACTTTCGATTATGTCAAATAGAATTTCCGGTATACATTTACTAATACGTAAAGGATCTACAAAGCGAAAGTATGTTTCGAAGTCCATTAAACAAAAAGTGGAATTGCTGCAAAAATGGATAAAGGCATATCCTTCGTTTCTCTAACCATTCCGAAATCTGTTTATCAATTTCAAGCTGCTCTGCGGCGGGGATGGGGGGGGGTGAACGTTGCGGCGCGCAATGAATTGGAAGTTGATCTGTAACCATATCCATCTTCCGGCAGACGTTTTATTTATTTGGCTCTAATTTTTTACTAAATGTAGTACAGTCAAAAGTCGTTAATCCGGACTCGTCGGGACTCGCGATTCCGGATTATAGATCATCAGTTAAACTCGTAGATGGCATGCAGAAATTCTAAAATTAAAAATATGAAACCGTAATTTATGAAATAAGAAGAGTTATGATCTAAAGGGTATCAAAATTTGCAAAAAGAAAAGCTAATATTATTTGTTTATTAAATAAAATTTCTTTCAATGTAAGTTGTTTAAGTTGCTTCGTTTCATGTGATAATACTTTCTCTTAATTCTATTAACAGACATAATTTCTTGTTCAGTTACAAAGTTCCGCTGTTCAAGTCCTTAATTGCTGGTCAAGAAACACCGACTAATTTGTCAATCGAAATTTTTCGTTTTCAATAACTCTGTCACTTTCTTCGCTATCGGAAGCGAATTAATGACGAGGAACTTGTTTTAAATCATATCAAAGACGGAGCATATCGAGTGAAAACTACATTTGGTAAGGAATTATAAGCCAAATAAAATAAAAAATCTGATCTTCAATTATAGCCAAATAAATAAATAAAAAACATCTGCGCTGAGATAAGGATAGTGCTGACAGATCACTCCAATTCATTACGCGCCCGCCGCAGCGTGAATTGATAAACAGATTTCGGATTTCAAAACATACTTCGCTTTAGATCCTTTACATATTAACAAATATATATCGGAAATTCTATTTGATATAATCGAAAGTTTAAGCTACTTTTATTAAAATTCCTCTTACAGTCTGCAAAAAATAATAAGCCGGATCCAATTCGAAAATTAAGGAGCAACGTAATCATCAACATTAACTGAAATAGATAATTAGATTTTAGCTTATACGTCCATTATACATAAACGCGCACGCGAAGACGTATTCTGCACTTGCGCGCACTCATATGCGCAGTCGTAAAAGGTCTTACGCGAACGCGTAAATGCCTATGCGCATGTGTCAACTCGGCGCATGCGCAGAAAGTTTTTAGTTTTGAGGTCCGGATTATAGATCATTCCGAATTATGGGTGTCCGAATTAACGACTTTTGACTGTATTTCATCTCTATGTACTCCGTCTTTGATATGATTTAAATCAAATTCCTCATAATTCGCTTCCGATAATGAAGAAAGTGACACAGACGTTATTGAAAATGAAAAAATTTCGATTGACAAATTAGTCGGTATTTTCGACACAGCAATTATAGGATTTGAACAGTGGAACTTTGTAATTGAAGAAGAAATTATGTCTGTTTATAGAATTAAGAGAAGTATTTCACATAAAAACGAAGCAACTTAAACAACTTACATTGAAAGAAATGTTAATAAAGTAAACAAAAAAATATAAGCTTTTTTTTTTTTTGTAAATTTTGATACCCTTTAGATCATAATTGTCCTTTATTTCATAAATTACGGTTTCATATTTTTAATTTTATAATTTCTGCATGCCGTCTTACCAGATTTAAGCTGATTATCTATAATCCGGAATCGCCGAAGTCCCAACGAGTCCGGATTAACAACTTTTGACTGTATTTCTTTTGCTAACTCGGATGGGTGAAATCATCCCTCTGCTTGTCGAATACTAATGTGCTATGCTACTTCTTTTTCAAGAATAGAAAATATTCTATCTGATACAATAAGGTCATTTCATGTTTCAAAATCCAACACTCTCTTAGATTTAAATAATTCGAACTTATGATTAAACGTGAAGTAAATTGCGTAAGTTTCGTTTTGCTGGCTTGTTGTCTTTTTTAATTGTTGTAAGCATGCTTGACGGGTGGGTTGAAATTCTCTTAATATAACAGATTTCATTTTTTCATAATTACTCAACTTAGCATCTTTAATATAATAAATTACGTTAGAGACTCTTTCACTTAATAAATATGAACTCTTTCACTTAATATATTTAATAGAATTTCCAATTTATATTTATCAGGGACAATTTTTGAGACAAAGGCCCTTTCTACGGAAGAAAAGGAAAAAAGACCAGCCTTCTGCCTAGTAGGCACATTTAAAGTTCTGACACTGTTCACTAAGGAATCTAAAGAATTACAAATTTCTAGATTACTGTCATTTCCATTTTCTAGTTTCATTTCTGCTCGTAATTTTGGTAGCTCTATTCCTGTTTTACCTTTTCTAACTTAATCTGCTCTAAATTAAGTAAACTCTGCTCTTGACTGATACAATAAGGTCATTTCATTCATTATATGATCCGTTATTAATTATTAGTATTTATTAATTTAGTATTTATTAATTCATTCACAAGTTCAATATGTGTCTGATAATAGTTATTATTTTTGATTAACACAGTTAATTCAAAAATTATTGTTTTTTCAGATACAGTTTCTCCTAACTCTGCGGCTTTAAGCCCAAGGTCTTCTTTTTTACAATTCTTCAATTTACTTACACAAAACAATAAGAATTCATAAAAGTTTCACTTACTTCAGATTTCTGTCCTGGTTCTCCGACATTAAGGACCAACATTGTTAAGATAACAGCTCAGTTCATACGCATAAATAAATAAAATGCTCAAATAGTACACAATCTTTTTATTTAAATTCACTTCAAATTGATGCACATATCTGCTATGAGGAATCATGCTTGAGAATCTTCAATTTTATTTAGCATGCACTCTCGCTCATTGTTTATGATACTCTCACACTTTTCACAAAAAACTCTCAGTCGAGAGGTGCACGTGCAAATTTCTAGTAAGCAGGTATGCCGACCAGATGCTATGCCAGAAAAATAAAAATACAGGGGAAGTCTATTTAACATCAAGTAAATGGCTATCTCGCTAATTTGGCGAGATATTCCCAGCTAGTAATGCTTTTGGCAACTAATTTTTGTCGTCAAACTGGTTCGATTCCTTATCACCATAATAAGTGTTGTAATTGAATAACTATAATTGATACTCCATGTAGTTGTAATCGTAACTTGGCCCTCTTATGCCTTCCAATAATTTTGAGATGAAGAAAATATTAGAAATCCCACAGCGGCTGGGAGGAAACCATTCAAGATCGATGACAGCATCAGTTCGAGTATCTGTTGTAGCTGTTAGTTCAGCATGATGTGGAGTACTTGATATTTTGCAGGTTAGCTTCGTTCTTTAAATGCACTTTCCATTTTATTGTATTTAATATTTTTAGCAGTTTGAAGCATTACTACTGATTGTACTCTGTGATACTGTGACCTGTATGAATATTTATGTGGATAGTTTCAGAACTCTGAAATGTTTCTTTTGATAAAATAAATTTTATCAAATCTGTCATCAGACCTGTGTGGATTCAATCATTTACGAATCCATACACATAAAACAATATGTATTAAAAATTTAACAGAACACTCGCGTAGTTAAGAAAATAAAATGCAAAAACACTGCAATATATAATGCAAATATTTTATTATATACAAATTAACACTTGTACACAAAATGACACAATAGGAATAAATTATATTTTTTAAGAATGGGTGGAAAATTTTCATTCTCCAAACTTTCCAATTTTTAAATGAATACTAATGTTCATTGCAGCTAATTCAGCACACAGATAACGAAAAACGAAGGGAAGCTCTATAAGTACAACATTTTCACCTGTTTCACAAAGTTTGCAAATATGCTCACTTGGTAAACAGTCCACTGGAGTGAAACAACTTTCTTGCTTTTCACACAGTACTGATAGTATATTTCCACATTTTGTGCAGACATATTGCTAAAAATGAAAGAAAAAAATATATATATATATAACAATTATTCTTATAATAATAGACATTTTGATAAAATCACTTTCATTAAATTTTCCAGAACACATTAAATTTAAATCATTTTATAACTGGCACCATTAATTTAAAACACTCTCACTAAACATTATAATGTATAATTACTCTCAAAAAAGGGGGGAGAGAAAGAAAGAAGCCTTATTTAATTATTTTAGAAATTATATTGTTATATAAGATATAAGTTGGAATATTTCCCCACCTATTTCTCCAGTTGATACTATTCCTTAACTATGTAAATGAACAGCACTTTTGATAATACAGGGAATTAGGTTCTGCGAATAAAAACAGATACCTACAGTTATTTCAGTATAACTGCTGTCACCAGTTTGCGTGCAAATAGCATTTTAAAAGTGAAGTTTTTAAAATGTATTTAGTAGCACATTAAAAAAATAGAATTAAAAAGCAATATAAATTTTTATAAGATTAGAAATTTACCAAATTTGAATTTTTTTGTTTCATTAACAACTTATTAAACTGATCAAATATAATGATTGCTGATTAATCATTAAATGCTCATGTTGCATATGATTTACAAATTTATTTACTTCGATGCCCAAGAGAGCAGATATTTATCAGATTAATAATATAAGAGTCCAAACAGAAATGAATTAATAATTGCTCCATTTTTCTGGCCAACTTCATATAAAAAACTCGGTCATCGAGTTCATATGCAGTGTAACAAAGTTTAAGTCACAAATGGAAGTGGTGATAGAACTTTCTAAAATAAACAACTTTCACCATATAATGTAGGGTAGGAAACAAATGGTGAGGTGCAAGAGGGTGCTTTCTCTGGAGATGAAACATTGCCTTTCGCAGAACCCATCACTCAGTTGCTATGCGTTGCCAAAAATGCAGTGATACTAGAATGCACAATAGGCCTCATAGCCATCTTATGTATGGGGATGCAAACGGCAGTGCAACAGAAGCGGTAAGACTTACCAGAAGCAATATCTAAACATTATGTGCTGCCTTATCTGGGAACATTTCAATGCTTGCTTAGGTAAGTCTTGGAGATGGGCTTGTTCCACAGACAAAAACATGATGCAGGTCTACAAACGAAGGCGAGAATGATAAATCGAATAGAGACAATCCTTGAGGCAGTGAATGGCCAGCCTAAAGGAAGCATACAAGCAGTAACTCATAACAAAGGGGTCAACTATATGATAGTATGGTATGTGTTGCTGAGGAAAGGTAATTTCTTTACCAAGTTGATCTTGAGTTTAAACCATCACATCTTCCTTACATCATCAAAACAAACTCTTGAAGTTCTGCAGCAATTAAAAAAAATAACTCCATAAAACTGAGCTATTTAAATAAGAAGTATAACTAACTAAGAAAAACTAAGGCCTATCATGCTAGCATTCCAGCCCCCCCCACAAAAAAAGAAGACGATTTGGCCAAGAAAGATAGTCCTTGAGATTTTAAAGAAGTTTAATTTGTTCCATGGTCGAGCTCTTAAATAAAAATTTGCACATCTCAAATCAATTTCCCCATTGAAATTAACAGAAATGTGATTAAATTGTTGCAGCCCCCAAAAATCATTCCAATTTGTTTGTTAAATGTTCTCAACATAAGAAATATATATTTATAATGAACAAATATTGTATATAAACAAAATAAAGCCTAATAATATAATTCTATTAATGAAGCCTAACAAAAGATACTGTTGCGTGCATACAGGTTCATAACAGATTGAATGCACAAGTCTGATGAAAAGTTAATAAAATTTATTCTTATCAAAGAAATAAGACTAATTGCTGAAATTTTTCCTCACAGATAGATATTCGTACAATATCACAATATCACATAGTACAATATTACAAACTACTAAAATGTTAAATATGAGGGGTGATCCAAAAAAAGTTTACAAGGCAAATGAAAAAGTATTTATTAACAATAGAAACAAGATACAAATGGGAATCAAGAGACACGTCTGGCCTTCACTTTTCCACATAAGTCGCCAAACCTGTTTAGGCATTTGTCAGAACGTTCGAACAACTTGTATATCCCGTCTTCGTAGTAATCAGGGCCCTGCTCATTGAGCCATTTCTCGGCAGCTATTTTCATTGCATCGTCTGAGGTGAACCGCGTTCCTGATAAGTATCGCTTCAATGCCAGAAAAATGAAATAGTAACTTGGAGCCAAATAGGGGCTGTATGGGGATGATTCCAAACCTCCCACTTGAAACCTTTGCAGCAATTCCCGAGTCTGGCGAGCTGTATGGGGCTTGGCATTGTCATGCAGAAGAATGATGCCTTTGCTCAGTAATCCAGGCCGTTTGCGTCAGATGGCTTTACGCAATTTCGTTAAGGTGACACAATAATGATCGGTCTTAATGGTATGGCCACGCTCCAAATACTTGATTAGGATAACACCAGTCGTATCCCAGAAAACGGTTGCCATCACTTAACCGGCAGAGAGTGTGACCTTAAACTTCTTCCTCGTTGGTGATCCAGCGTGTTTCCACTCCATCGTGGCTCTTTTGGATGTGAGGGTGAGGTGATGAAGCCATGTTTCATCATCGGTAACGATGCGATCAATGAAGTGTTGGCTGTCTGAATGGTATCGCTGAAGAAATGTGAGGCTGCACATCATTCGACTGGCCTTATGCTCCGCGGACAACGCACGTGAAACCCAGCGGGCACAAACTTTGGAATATCGCAACCCATCGGTTATGATACGCTGAAAGTTACCATAACTCAGGTCCAACTCTGAGGCAATCTCATGCACAGTTACTCGTCGATCCCTTTGGATGATTTCTTCAACACGTGCTGTGTTGATATCCATCCTTGAAGAACTTGGACCACCGCTCGCTTCCATATTGCTGTTTTCCACATGCTCCCTGCCTGCTTGATAAGAACGACACCATTTCGCTACCAGTTGTCTACTCATTGCTTTGTCCCCGTATACCTCAATGATTTGTCTGTGAATTTCGGATGCGGCCACATTCTTGGCCCATAAGAATCGAATTACGGCTCGCACCTCTATGCGAGACCACTTTTCTAGACGTCGTGCCACTACTGTCGCTCTTAAGTATCTGCGTACTGACGCTACTTACTCATAGAACCGCTGTAAGACAACTAGTGCGATCTGTCAACCACCCTGAGTGGAAATATTCGCTCCACAATTATTACGTTTCAAATGCTTCTGCTTGTAAACTTTTTTTTGGATCAACCAAAAATAGAACACAATCCAAAACACAAAGAAAGCTAATCCAATCTCATCCCAGAGTCACTAAAATCAATCAACGACTAAGTAAACAACTGAACTGAGAACTCTCCGGCTTTTATAAGCTTTTTAATCTTGCACGAGAACATTCTGGTTTTGAGGTTTCTGGTTACATTGTAAACTAAATACAAAATCAGTAACAATACTTATAAACAGATACATAGATAGAAATAAACAGATAAATAAACACAGAAATAAACAGATACATACATATCAGTCTAGTATATGACAAACCTATTAAATTTTCCTCCCTCATTTTTGCCAAACTTTTTTTTATTCTTCAGTGGTTGTTTTCTTTTTTGCCATGCATTTGTTACTTTCATCAGAAGGGTGTTTCAATAAAAACTTGTCCAAAGAGCTTTATTTCTTTCTCCCATTTGGAATGCTTCTGAAATGACTTAGGCAAGTGTCACTAAATAGTGTTGCTGCATGTCCAGTTGCAACTTTTTCAGTCTGTTTCCTTTCAATAAAGTCTGAAACATTTTCCCACTCTTGCAGAAATTCCATTTGTTGCTGCATCTGCAGTTTCATCAACTCCCCCATTGTCAGTTCTTCGGATTATGTGGTGACAAGCTCTTTGATATCTCCTCATCCAATTCCAGGCCCACAGACTTTCCAAGATACGCAATCTCCTCCTGCATTTCTGTTTCAGGTTTAAGCCCATTTCAGTCCAACATCAGACCACAACATTTTCCATGTGGAGGTCAAAGTCCTTTCCCTAACCCCAACCAGCCCATATCAATAATTTCGAGGCATATGACAATGTTATAGTGATTCTTCCAGAACTCTTGAAGGGTGAGATTTGTGTTCTCCATAACCTCAAAAGAAATATGTGTTTGGTAAAAAGGTTCTTGAAACTGGAGGAGTGGGATAGGGGTAGATAAGGCTGGTGTTGGGTGGAAGGTAGAAAAACTTTAATAAATTTGAACTTCTTGAGGATGTTGCCAAGGACAAGAAGGGCTTGAATGGGTAAGTTATTGACCTCAATATATTTTTTAATGGCAGGAACAAAGACCAAGTTGATCCACTTCACAAAACATTTTCTGATGACCCATGGCCTTTGAGTTTGTCATCCACATAACCAGTAGCTTGTCTTTTAAAACCTTATGCATCTTGAAAGCTCTGGGGTTTTCTGAGTGGTATATGAGCAGTGGCTTGATATTATAGTGGACATCCACATTTTCACACAGTGTGAGAGTGAACCTATCCAGCGTGAGAGTCAACCAACCTTTTTGTCACCTCGTATTTTCTTTTATTCTGTAAGCTTTGTTCGGCACCTTCTTGTCACAGTTGAACACTAGTTGGAGGATGTATCCTTGTACTCATGCCTTCTCGCAAATTATAGTCTCTGTCAGAGGATCTCCAGTGAGCTGCTTTTTAACTACAATAACAGTAGATTCTCCATCTTTTCGTGGACAGAGTTACAAAACTTTGAAATAATTTTAATGCCCTTAACTTAAGTTATAGCCTTTATTGACTTCTATTGCTTCAGAATGGTATATACTGTAAAAGTTGCAGAATCATACTGCATTTTCAAGATTTTATTCTTATACCTTGCTCATGTTTGTCTATTAATCACGCTTAATTTTACAGATTTCACCCAATTTTTTCCCTCACAACCATTCTTTACACTCATCCTCTTCGAACTTATTACATGACAAATAAATTAGCTAAATAACCGTGTCAATAAAAAATGCAAAATTAA